ATCCCCCTCCCCTCTCCGCGGGTGCGCGGCCGGTCTGTATGTTGGAACCCATCCCACGGCAGGAGCGCCGCCGCGCTCCCAAGCAGCGCACTGTAGCAGTGCGCCACCGGGCCGGCCCTTTACTGCTGAATTCTAACAAACTTTTAGGGAGAAATTAATACCAATTCTCTTCAAACTATTCCAAAAAATTGAAACAGAGGCCACTCTCCAAAACTGATTCTATGATGCCAGCATCACCCTGATACCAAAACCACACAAAGATACAAAAAGAAAGAAAACTACAATCTATTATCTCTGATGAACATATCAACAAGTATCTTCAACAAAATTTTAGCAAACAGAATGTAGCAACACATCCAAAAAAATTATATATCATGATCAAGTGGGACTCATCTCAGGAATGCAAGGATGGTTCTACATACACAAGTCAATAAATGGGATAAGCCATATCAACAAAACCAAGGACAAAAATCATATGATTATCTCAATAGCTGCAGAAAAAGCATTTGACAAAATTCAACAATGCTACCCAATAAAAATTCTCAGCAAATTAAGTATAGAAGGAAAGTATCTCAATACAATAAGAGCCATATACAAAAAACCCACCATCAATATCACCCTGAATGGGAAAAAGCTAAAAGCTTTTCTCTTAAGAACGGGAAAAAGACATGGATGCCCACTCTCACCACCCTATTTAACATAGTATTAGAAGTACTAGCCAAAGCAATCAGGCAGGAGAAAGAAATCAAGGGCATCCAAACTGGAAAAGATGATGTCAAACTGTCCCTGTTTGCAGAAAACCTTAACAATTTCAGTAAAATTGCATGATATAAAATCAACATGCAAAAACCAGTAATGTGTGTATACTCCAATAACAAACTAGCAGACATCAAGAAAGCAAGCACATTTATGATAGTTACCAAAAAGCTAAAATACCTAAGAATCAACTTAACCAAGGAGGTGAAATATCTCTACAATGAGTACTACAAATCACTGTTGAAAGAAATCAAAGAAGACATAAAAAGATGGAAAGACATTCCATGCTCTTGGATTGGAAGAACTATTGTGAAAATATCCATACTACCCAAAGGGATTTATAGATTCAATGCAATCCCCTCAAAACACCAATGACATTTTCCATTGAAACAGAAAAAAACATTGCTAACATTCATATGGAATAACAAATGACCTCAAATAGCCAAAGCAATCCTGAGCAAAAAAAAATAAAGCCCAAGGCATAACACTACCTGACCTCAAATTATACTACAAAGCTACAGTAACCAAACCAACATGGTACTGGCATAAAAACAGACACTAAGACCAATGGAACAGAATGGAGAACCCAGAAATCAACCTGCACACTTACAGTCAACTGATCTTTGAAAAAGGCATCAAAGACATACATTGGGGAAAAGACTGCCTCTCCAATAAACAGTGCTAAGAAAACAGGACATCCACATGTAGAAGAATGAAACTAGACCTGTACCTCTCACCATATACCAAAATCAACTCAAAATGGATTAAGGACTTAAATATAAGACCTGAAACTATAAAACTCCTAAAAGAAAACATAGGGGAAACACTTCAAGAAGTAGTACTAGACAAAGACTTTATGAATAAAACTCTGAAAGCACAGGCAACAAAAGAAAAACAAATGGTAGTATATCAAGTTAAAATGCTTTTGCACAGCAAAAGAAAGAATAGACTGGAAAGAAAACCTACAGAATGGGAGAAAACATTTGCAAACTACACATCCAAGAAGGGATTAATGTCCAGAATATACAAGGAACTCAAACAACTTAGCAGTTAAAAAAAAACAAGTACATCCATTAATAAATGGACAAAGGAACTCAATAGGCATTTCTCAAAGATATACAAATGGCCAACAGACACATGAAAAAATGCTCAACATCACTAAGCATCAGGAAAATACAAATCAAAACCGCACTGAAATATCATTTCATCCCAGTTAGACTGGCCATTATCAAAAAGTCAGAGAATAACAAATGCTGGTGAGGATGCAGAGAAAGGGGAACCCTGCTACACTTTTGGTGGGACTGTAAATTAGCACAGCCATTATGGAAAATAGTATGGAAATTTGTAAACAACTACAGACAGAACTACCATATGATCCAGCAATCCCACTGGCTGGGTATATACCCAACAGAATAGAAATTATCATGTTGAAGGGATAACTGCACTCTCATGTTTATTACAGCTCTATTTACAATAGCCAAGATATGGAACCAACCTAAATGTCCATCAAGAGACAACTGGATAAGGAAAATGTGGTATATATATATACAATGGAATACTATTCTGCCATATGAAGGAATGAAATTCTGTCATTCAAAGCAACAAGGATGAACTTAGAGAAAATTATGCTAAGTGAAATAAGCCAGGCACAGAAAGAGAAATACTGCATGTCCTCACTCATAAGTAGGAGCTAAAAAATAAACAAATAAATTTTTAAAAAATAAAGAAAAATACGACAATCACAATACCTTGAAATTTCAAAAGGAGAGAACAGAACTGAGTTTCCCAGAGGTGGGAAAAGGGGAGGATGAGAGGGTGTAAGGGAGGAATTGGTAAAGGGACACAAAAAATGATTACATTGTATAATGTTGAATAAACTAATTAACCTGATTTGGGCATCATGTATTGTACACAGGTACTGATATTCAAGTCTGCACCCCACAGATATGTACAATTAACTATGTTTCAATTTTAAAAATTAAATAATTAATATTTTAAAATAAATATATAAAAATTACCCCCCCCCCAAAAAAAGCATGCACAGAAAAAGAATGTCCTCACTCACAAGTGGAAGCTAAAAATTAAGAAGAAAGAAAGAAAACATATACAACAATCACAATAATACACTGATCTTTCAAAAGGAAAGAACAGAACCGACACCACCTGAGGTGGGAAAGGGGTAGAGGGAGTTAGCAAGAAATTGCTAAAAGGCCACAAAAAATGATTACACTGTATAATGTTGAATATACTAATTAGCCTGACTTGAGCATTACATATTGTATAGAGGTACTGATATTCAATGCTGCACCCCACAGATATGGGTAATTGATTATGCTTTAATAGATAATTTTTTAAAATTCCTCAGAGAAGCCTTCTGGACCATGTTATCAAAAATAATAACTCCACCATCAATTTATCCCATTTCCTCGCTTTATTTGTTTTATTACAATTAACATTCTCTTCAATCAGGGCAATTATTATTTAATTTATTTTCTGCCCTATTTCACTAGAATACAAGCTCCAAAAGTCTGATTCTCTAGTTTTCCCCAGTGACTAATTAGGGTCTGATATATACCAAGTATACAAAACTTATTTACTTAATATAACAATTAAATCCATAAATAAAGGACTATTTTATACTAAGAACAAGGCTAGATGCTTGGTATACAATGGTGAACAAAACTTACCTCTGTTTTCATGAACTTTAAAGACTGTTCGGGGTGAGACCCAATAAACAAGTTAAGCAAAGAAAATATAATGAACTTCTTCGAACTGTGAAGTATTCTATGAAGAAACAAACAGGTCGTACGGGAAAGTAAGCAAAAAGCAATAAATATATTTCTTACCTTAACACCTATTGCAACAATAAGGTGCTTGGGAAATTGAGAGCTGTCAAAACAGTACAGACATTTTTCCATTTGTGCAACAAGACTCTGATGCTCAGCAATAGCTTTTTTCCTCTGGTTCTCTTCCTCTTCACCAAGACATTCTCTCTCGGCTGCTTTGGAGACAAACATGTCATCCAGAGTATAAGAGTCTCCATCTGTTTTCCCCATAAACTGAAAAGCCAAAATAACAGTAGTAGAGATCAGAAGGCAGTGGTTAAGATTTTATTGTACTGTACTACCCTGAAGTCATATCTGTATATTCTAGGATAAAACTCATATATTGAATGAATGAAAGAGAGAGAGAGAGAGAGAGAGAGAGAGAGAGAGAGAGAGAGAGAGAGA